CAAATCTTTGGATTCATTAAGCTTTATTATTGCTATTATATAAATTGTTAATGTTATTAATTACTGATGTGTTGTAATTATGGACATGGATATGGTACAGGTACACGGAAAACTTCTCTAGGTTTAAGCTGTAAAATAAAATAATATAAATTATAGAGAGAATGTCATCCCTAATAATTCTGATCTTTAAAAAAAATATGTATCATTTAAACAGTATATACAGCTGATATCCCAACCCATGCCAATGCCATTTGTATCCCATCAGTTAATAATGACACTTTAATTCTACCCCAAACCCTTCAATCACATATCACAATCCTTGAAGAATGGTCTCAAATCTGGAGAATAAAAATAAATTCCAATAAATCCCATCTAATTGCCTTTACCCTCCATCGTAAATCTACGACTTCTTGTCCTACAATATCCTTCAATGATATTCCACTTGTCTCTGTTGAATAAATCGGTTATTGTACCAATATCTTACTTGGAATCTGCATACAAGACTGAAACGACAAGAAACCTCTCGACGTTTTCGGTTGCTCCAACACTTACTAGACAAAAGCTCTAAACTTTCCATTAATTATGAAAAAACTCATTTACATGACTATAATAAGACCTATATGGGCAAACAGAGTTGATCCTTGATGTTCCACCAAACCATCAAATTTATACCATATCCAATCCTTAAAATACAAAAAATTAAGTAGAATTCTTAATGTCCCATATTTTGTCACATATAAAACCATTCATAAAGACCTTAATGTTCCATATGTCACTGGTTTAGCCCAAGCAAGATCCTTTCATGTCAAACTTCAGTCACATCCGAATCCACTTGTTTCTTCCCTTGCTTTTTTATCAATTCCTGATAATCCTCCTAGGCGTCTGAAAAGAAGATGGCATCGTGATCATCTTACTTAGAATTATTTAGGGAGTGCTATGATAAGATGTCATGTCATTACTCTTTATTTGTTCATATTTACTAGCTGTTTTATTTAGCACAATTGTAAATTTCAATGAATTGAAAAAAAAAAATTAAACTTTTTCAACATTATTCTTTTGTTTTTTTCTTCACACACACTTGTCAGAAATACTGACTACCATTGAGTACATAAGAATAGCAGTAAGGCGTTTAATCTAATGAAACTAAATTAACTGAAATTAATTGGTAAAACAATTGAAATGCTTTAGAAGGAAATTATTATTAAGAAAATATAAGAATAAATAAAGAATAATGTTGACAAATTGAACAATAATAAAATTAAAAAAAAAAACTGGAAATCCTGTAATTCGCTCTAAAAATATTTTTCCGCTTACAGTTCAACAAAATAGTAAACGATTAAATGGACAGTAAATCTTCTACAAATAATCCCGCTTTAAAAGCGTCGCTCCAGTGTTGCAAGCCCAAATCCATCACCAAACCTCGCTAAAACCGACTCTTAATGGACTCAATACAGACCTATACCTAACGGGAGTATTAAAACTCCAACTATAAAATTTAAAAAATCTCATTTATGGTTTTATTATGTTATAAGATGATTTCGTATCAGCTCACTTATAATAGTTTAGAAATTTTAAAACTGATTCTTAAAAAAAATAATCTGTCAATCCAACAGATTTTTTTTTTCAGTCTCTTATATATTTTCTGATTTATTTGCACCATGTCTTGAAAATTCTCCTTTTACTGCATCTCTGCAGTTTAAGGAGGTCTGTTTCTATATTTTTTATAATATTCATGATATTATTTGTTTACAATGATTATATGATAGGGCTAACCTCATTTTTTTTTTTTTTTTTGTATCGAACCTAAAACTAAAATTATGACTAAAAGAGAATTTAATCCACCAACATCGTTTGCCATCGTTGAGGTGGTCCTGAATGTTTAAGTTGACTTGAAAAGAAATTTGTAACATTTCATTACTTTTGGTATTTATAATTCTTCGTGTAATCTCAACGCTTTAGCTCTATTCATGGACGTTTATTTCACTGTTTTACGTAACTTTCAAATTCAAGCGATTGTATTAGTTTTTTTTTTTTGTTTACTTTGTAGTAATTGAAAACAGATGGCGTGCCATTAAATATGATCGGATGTATTATGGTTTTATAGTATGAAAACTTTAAGCGTATCGGAAGGTTTCTGGAAGATAGCGAATGATTTAGTCGGTATGTTTTATTGTCTTGTAGCATAAATTTTCGTACCCAAGTTAGTCGATTTTTAAATGTGTGTATACATTATTTTCTAGGTAAATAATATGTATTATAAATATATTTTTTCAGGTTTTTAATTTGAGATTTGATGGTAGTTTTTCTTCCCTTTTAGAAACGAAAGACAACGTAAACTTCCGTTTCGTCCGAATCTGGTTCATAGTTTACTTTATATAGATTATTTTTTGGGCTACATAATACAGAAATTATAATACGAAAAAATAATATAGAAAATTAACGACAATGAAATGATTTACTGAACGATACCTAGTATAACCCTCCGATAACTCACATTAGATAGCTACTTTTATCCCTAATACATTTAACGTTAAGCAAAACATGTTTATTTATGCGTTATAAAAGTAATATTATGAACGAAGTCTATTCAACACACAACTAGTGGAGCTTCATACTTTACCATAACTGTTTAAGCTAAAATTTATTAGAGATCCAAATAAACATGTTTTCTCAGCCCTAATGTATGCCCGGATCCTTCAAGACCTGCTCCTTAAGTATTGTAAACTTGATAATAGTTTTACATTGAAAGCTAATAAAACTTGTTCAATGACTGAGTGAGGAACGACTGGGGAGACGAAGACCAAGAAAATCTTAGTAAATGAGAAAATTCCTTATAGTACAAAATAAGAAGCTCGAAAGTCCATATGAAAATGTTTAAATATTTCCGAATAAAATAAGGAAAAGAGAGTTGCAATTTTTAAAATTTATAATTTATTTAATATTTATAAGATGTTTACCCGAGGTATTATCGATTTGAACTCAATAATTAAATAAGGAACGTGGCAACTTGAAGCGACTAACGAAATCAGTTTTACCCATCGAAGCTGCTGGTCACGTATTGATAACCATATTGCTTTGTCCAATCCACTAATAGAGCAATTCTGGCTTCTGATGACCGTTCTTAAAGTTCACCAAAGCAATCGATCAATGAAATCTAAATACTTTAGAAACTTATTTGTAATTAAAATAGATAAGCTACTAAAGTATTTATTACGACAGCGATTAAATCTGGCATATTTTAATATGTGCGAATTATAATTTAAGAAACCTTTAATGGTATCAAAAAAATATTAGAATACAAACTAATCACATAAAGAAACATTGGAAGATTTACAAGTCATATTAAATTTAAAAATATATTAAATCGAGTAGGGAACTATTGTTAAAAATAATAAACCAAATAAAAATAACAAAGTTTAGTCAATATGTTTTATTTGAAGTATTTCTATCGGTGTGTTGAACAATTATGGCGAAATACGAAAAATAAATATATGTTATATATTTTGGGAAATACTGAAGAAAAAATACATTTGACAGTCCCATATGTAATCTGGTATATGATTGCTATTGAATTTATACTTTAAATATGGAGGTAACATTATAATCGAATTCGCAGATCTTAAATATTCTTCTGTGGCAAGTGTGAACTAATTTCTTTTTTATGACTTTACGGTTTTAATCATAATCCTATTTTGCCAATAATATTTATTTATTTAAAAGAATTATGTCATCATATAGATCTAAATGTTTTCAACGTCAAGTGCTGTATACTATATTGAAAACCGCATTGAAAGTTTGCTTACAGGCTTCGTTACTAGGCTTACAGATCCAATTTGATATCACAAAAATTATACAGAAAGATAGATCAATTGATTGAATTTATTAAATAAATACTATTTGTCATTTTGTCTGTTAAAGATAATTCCGTACTAGGTAATTCAGTACTAGGTAGGTACCGTGTCCATCTGAGGAATTTGGTTGATGTCTATATAAACTGTTTGGATTTTTCAAAATTTAGTAGAATTATTTATAGTTTATACAAGTATTATGATTAAAATAAGTGAGGTAATATAAGTATCAGACCAGTGTAAGATCTTGATATTATGTGAGAATTGCAGGATTGTCAGCGTAAGTAGCTGTCAACGTCTGATTGTTAACAGGTATGTCGCAAGCCTATACAATGTAAAGTGGAGGGGTCAGAATTGAACCTTGAGGAACTCCTGCCAAGATAAGACGAATTGAAGAAATATTCGTGCCGAATTGAGAACAATTTGCGGAAGAAAAAAGATGAAAGGATAATAAAATATGTGTGTGGTAGTGTATTCTGAAGTTTAAAAACAAGGCAATGGTACCAGATTTTTTCAAACGCCACAGGGACAGTCAAAAAAACATGATTTGCATAAAATATTAATTATTACATCGATCGTCTTGTAAGTACAATGTTATAATATCAATTATGAGATTATTACATTTTCTAAAACAAAACAAAAAAAAAGCGTGTAATAATAAATCAATTAATTCTATAGTTTATGAGATCTTGAAGGTAATCGACTTTAAAATTGCATTAGCTTCAACCTGAGTCGAGTGGAATACCTGTCTGTCGTAAAGCGGTACTCAGGTGTATAATGTAATAGCAGATTCCTTGAACTCAGGTATCTTTCCAAAGCTCGTTCAAAAGGAAAGGTATTTCACTGTGTCAAAATTATCAAACAGAGATAATTAAGAAGGCTTTTCAAGATATAAATATCCATTGAAAAATTTACTTTATAGCACAGTGAAACCCTGCAGTATTTTCTTTTAAATATGTTGATATCGCACATGATTAATATAAAATCCCAATTATCCTGAATTGAAATTATTTAGTTTTATTTCAAGAATTTATTTTCATACATATGCAACGCTTTCACGCTTTAGAGAAAACAATTTAAGTAAAATTTTATACGAATTAAATAGATTAAGACCTTAATATATTCATAATTATTAACCGCTTAGATATGCAGATGATTTACCCGTCCTTGAAAGCAATCAAGAAGATATTGAGAGCCTGGCTGAGGTCCTTGAAGCGAAAGGGGACTGCACGGTTTCCTGGTACGTTAGGTCATGCGGGGTGGAAACTTCTCCTTCAGCAGGTTCGGTCCTGTCTAAGAAGGCTAAAACTAGAAACACTTCTTCAACCAGAGGAAAAAAAAAATCAAAATCCTAAAATACTTCAATCAAATCCCCGGATAATCGGGTAGGGTAATGAGTGTCGACAAGGAATACGTAAATATCGGAAGCAATCAAATTTGTACGTTGGAATATGAATGCTTCCAAAGTAAATATTTTACCACATGAATTTGTGAAATTCAGACAGAAAACAGTGGTACTATAAAATCACAACATAGGATTTGAAATGTTTTAGGATCATATCTGTAGAAATCAAAATGTAATAAAATTGGAATAAGGATTAGGGAAGATGTAATTATTAATCAGAAACTTTTGCTGATGACGAAGTAATTCTAGCCCAAGATAAAGACGACAGCAACTACATGTTTAGAAAGGTTACGTAATCGTATGAAAAGTGGGTCCTAAATATAATATTTAAAAACAGAGCACCTTAAAACTTCAGCAAATAACATACCAATTGAAAGAGGTATTAAAATATTGGAGACACAAGTTGAAATAGCTGAGGTCGATTTTCAAGATAAGATAGTTCTACAAGTGATATCGATCGCAGAATCAGACAAAGAAATAGAGACATTGCAATGCTAAAAAATAAAATAAAAAAATATGGTCTATTTTTTAAAGAAACTTGTCAACTTACAAATTAAAAAAAAATAGAACAGGTAGTCATAGATAAGATATGAAGAGGCATTAGTAACTCATCAAGTGTTGTTTTAAGGTTATAACTAAATTGACGGGAGGGTCCCGATTTTTAAAAATTTGTCCCACATCACGCGGAGTCTTAAAAAAGTTCCGATTTTCGGGAGGATGTACGACAAGCTAGGGAAAAGACGAAAAACGCAAAGAGATTATATGTTTTTTGGCGTTTTGCTAGAATACGAGTTTTATATTTTTTTTTGTTGATTTTCTAATGTTAGATTTTAATAATAATGAATAATTATTAAGAACTGTTTTTCGAGAACTTCTTAGCAAAGTTGGCATTGTTAATCACGCATTGGACCACCATTGCTGTGAATAAATGATAATAAATAACCAGAAAATGACTTTTTTTAAATGAATTATTGTTATAAAAAAAAGTTGAATCTTGGGCATCAGAAAATTAATTTCATTTACTGCTTCCATTTCACCGAAATATTTCCATCTTCAATAAGCGTATAGCATTTTGAAAAAGAGTAGCTTAATTCAGTAGAAACTTCTGACACAAAACATTTAAATCTTAAAAACTGTGTTATTATTGAAGTTATAAATTAAACGTAAAGTATATCAAATTACTCGTTCTCGAAAATTCACCTTTGGAAATATATTTTGAACCTTGTTTCAGGTAAATACGTATTTAAGAGTTTTAAAGGGTTCTAAAAAAGAAACTAATTTGTTTTTTCATTGCAAAAATTTATTTGGCCTACTTTATGGTACATTATAACTCATTAAAAAAAAAAGATTGATATACAGTAATCTAAAAAAGTTTTTTTATATTATATAAATTTTTTTTTGGCTCCGGGGGCACATTGGAAAGAACGCTGGGATATGTATATATGTTTCTAATATTTTTTGATGTAGTATCACCAAAAAAATTTTGGTTGAAATCTGTGACCCTCAGACTATCATTTCCTTCTGAGTCTCATACATCTACATCATCTTCCAGTAACTGTTTTCGTCTTTATTCAAAATTTTATTTTTATTTTTTAATCAATTATAATAATTACAACTTAAAAAATAAATACATCCAGTAAATATGCACCTGGGAATATAATAACACGGAAACGCTTGTTGAGAAACTACACACTGATAGCACTTCAGTATTCAAATTTAAGTAGTAAACGTTATACTGTAATAGTAATTTAAAAAAAAATAATCAACGATAATTTAAGTTTTGTACAAAATTACTAAAAAGTTCTTAGTGGCTCGTAAAAAAAACAAGATTTTTTATTTACAAAGTGAAAAAAAAATATACTGGCATGAAAAGATTTATTGAGAAACTGACCGCTGGTGTACCTGGTTAGCATTTCCTATGTAAAGTTAATTATTGTAACAGAAATTTTGAACTATTGTTTGGACTTAATGGACCAAAGATTTAATTATGAGCCTCCGGTTAATGGCGTCCAGCTTTACTCATGTTAAAATCAGGCCACCGTATGTTATACCAACATAATGGTATTTTGCGAGTTATAATTCAAGACCATACAGAATTATCTCAAAAAGAAACTTTGACTATTCTTCTGTTATTTAATACACGTGCAGGTACTTCTGTTGCATTCGACCTATCAGGCAGAGAATCCAATCGAGACACTAAGCCTTAATGGCAGGTTGGAATTTGACGCTGGGCGAACTGGATGCCGCCTGATGACGTAATCTTGTTACTCTGCTATTTGGCGATGAGGTATTATTAAGCTTTGATAAAGTTCCAGTACGGAATCATTTTTCTATTAGGCATAACGAATAAAATCCACTGGAGATTGAACGATAATGTACACAGAAAATAATATATAAATTTCATAAACAATTAGATATTTATTAGTTACTCATATTCCTGACGCACAATAAATTTGCCATCTACTTCTGTATTCAGCAAATATGACATCATAAGAATAAATGATATATAAAACATAAAAATAAAAAATGTAGTAAAATGAAAATAAAATAATATAACAACACAAAAAAGATAATACAGCAATTAGCTCAATGCAATAAGTCTCTTGGCAGCGCCTCAGCAGTCTTCTGGGCGGATTATATGGATTTGTGGCAGTCGATAGAGCTTGAGTAAGTGGATTGGAATTTAGAGTCAATCTGTCATGAAAATTATTAAAGCGGTCTGTGGTGATGAATGGAGTGTTAAGGTCAGTGTGTAAAGCAAGGTTTGAAACATAAAAGGGTACGTCTACAATTTTCCGAAGGACTTTTGTCTGAAATGACTGGATAATTTTAATATTTCATGTCTTTGCTCGCCCCCATAGTTTGATTGAATGTGTCCAAAATGGTTTAATGAGGACTTTGTAAATAGTTAATTTATTAGCCACAGATAATTTCGAACGTCTGTCAAGTAGCCCAGAAAGAAGTCCATATTGCTGATTAAGTTCTTTTATTTTTTGTTTTATGTGGTTTGTAAATGTTAGTCGTTTGTCCAAGTGGAGACCCAAATATCTTCAAATATACCCAATCGAATTTTGTTGAAGTTAGGGCGATATTATTAATGAACACTGGAGGACAAGAGTCATGTCTAAATGTAAATGAAACAAATTGGTTCTTAGACATTTTTATCCTACACCTTTTAGCCCAACAAGCTATGTAATTAATTAGATATAAAATATAAATTAAATTTTTCAAAGAAAATAAAAAAAAAAACTTTAAATAGTTCCCTCACATAGTGCCAGAAAAAAATAACGGAATATATTTTATCAACTGACACAGCGCATTCTAACCATTTAGGAATTGGTTTGCAGCTTAACCCAACGAATTTCCATGCCGAATATATTCACTTCAAAGCTATCGTCTTGAATATATTAAAAAGATAGTCATGAAAGCGTCTAAATTCATCAGTTGACTCACCCTTTTTTCGGCTCAAATATTTTTCGTTGTACTCAATTTTCAAGTACCCAAAGCCGCTAATCATACCTTAATGTAAGGTGTCCCGAAGGAATCTTAGGAAGAACAATAACTTTGTAAATTATAGTTTTTATGTTTAGGGACAGAAGACGTGAGTTCAGTCATTTAGCAACCGAAAAATAACTACCATTTTCGTCCTTTAGCCTTGCCAAAATTTCTTCTTTAAATCTGTTTATAGTCATAGTCGACGGCAAAATCTTTACCGTTTCTACATCTAACCATTTGGATTTATATATATTAATTTCGAGTCCCAGTTCTTTACCAGCTTTCATTAAAGTTGAATTTTACACAAATATAATGATGGAATAATGATTACTGATTATTAACTTTTTAAAACTTTAACTCTTGATAAAAAATAAAATTGTAGTGGTTACCAGAAAATGGGAAAAGAAACATTAAAGCATATCAGGAATTAGATTGGAGATTAATTCGCAGAAGATCTTTTTTTGGATTACTACAGAAAATCACTTTTAAATAAAAACATATGACTTTAGATTGTTTTTTAACGGTTATCGATTAGATTATTCATTGTGTACGTTCTGGGGTGTTTAGATGCTGAAAAATAATCAATCTTTTGAAATGATCTATTACATAATAAAATGAAGAAAACGTGATTCAATTATTCCAAGCTCATTTCTATTTATTTATTATTATAATTATTTCTTCTAAGAATTGCTGTATTTATTTATTATTTTGTTTTATTTCATTTTTTTCTCGTATTGTATATCTGGTTTCACTTTGCCTCACTCAGCTATAATATTTAGTGCTCCTAAGCGTGACAAAATGTATTATTTCCTAATTTAAAAAAAAATACTTCTAGAAGCAGTGATAGTGCGCAAGTAAAAAAAAATGTTGGAGATGGTACGTAATGAAGATTTATTTATTTGTTATTGGAGAAAAAAACATGTAACTATTTATTTATTTTTATTAAAATGACGTTATAACTACGTAATGATAGTTATTAACAAGTATGTAGACATGGGAAAATATACGATCATCTCCTGTATGGCTGTACTAGACTGGATAAATAAATACAGACTCGTATTGGTCTTTGATTCCTTGGCGAGACCAATCGCCGACTTCAAAGAAGGATCTGATTGAAAAATATTTCTCGGAATTTGATGCATTTGTGGAACGAATCGATTTCTCTGAACTTAATAATTAAATTGTGCCTAACCATTCCTTAATAACACTACCTAAATTAATTGTTTTACTAAATATCAATTAATCATACAATTAAACATCAATAAAATCAATTATTCATTGTAAATGTTGTATCAAACCCTTAATTGCTATCGTAAATCGTTATCCATTGTTTTATTCTGCCATATCATATTTCTGTTGCTATCGGTTTTCATTTCATCTGTTTGTATATTGTATTTAATTACTTCTCTTTTACTACTATAATTTGTCATATACACTTATTTATTTTATTTTCTAATTATTTAAAGTATTGTAATGTATCTGTATTATCTTACTTAAAATAACAATATGTGTTATGTCGCAAGATGGTTAGCGTAGAAATATATACAGGGTTACTGTAATGTAGAAAAGAAGAAGTATATAAACAGTGACAAAGAAATGATATGTTTTTATTGTTAAAAGTGATTTGCGGTAGCGAAATAAAAATACCTAATATTTTCTTGAAATATACTCAAACTCCATTTTAGCCAAGAAGACATGTTTGAAGAATATAATGCAGTAATCGTGATGTTTATTTTTGATTTTTATCCATTATTCCACACCGCCTATAACTTTAATGCATACGACAAAACCTAGAGAAGATAACTAACTGAAGAAATTGAATATTATAAAATACCATAATATCATATTCAGTAGATGGATGAGGTGAAGATTATAGTACCATTATATGGAAAAACTCAAATTATAACGATATACTTTAAATGGTCTAAAGTTTTAAACGACTACATCTCGCCAATATTACTTTTTATCTAAGACCCCTTTTTGTAGGTGCTTAGTTATAAGTTTTTACATTTCTAACACCCGGGATAAAGGGGAAAGTATGAAAAAATATATTTTTTTTTTTTCAAAGAAAAGCAATTGTTAGGGGCACTCAAAAGGTGAAATGTAGTTGAAATTGAAGTTGAATAGAGCTCTGGGGTCAGTAGTTACTGAGAAGGCTGTTGCCAACTCCGTCCCTCATATCGACTTCACCTTTTTGTTAGGTTTTTTTTTTTTTATTCGTTTTTGATGGCTACCTATTTCTTTCTTCACAAAGAGAACTCTTTTAATTTCTTAGTCATCGACGATACAATAAATACGTTTTTAATCTGTTTTAATGATTTTCTATATACAAAAAAAAATTCTTAATGGCCAAACTTTGGGAGGTAATTATTGACTAAATTCCCTCCTCCTCTCCCCAAAACATTGATATATTGGTCGAAAACGGAGGTCACATTTTCTCTTTCATAGGAAGCGATTACACAAAAATTATGATATTGGTCATACCAATTATTAACATATAGTAACTAAGATTGTCAAGTATTGGTTACTATTTTGCCTTAATTTATATTTAAAAAATCGATTTTTTTTACCAATCCTGGTCTTGGTCTTGCAACAGTTAGGCGGTCTTGGTCTTGTTCTTGCTTTTTGCAAGACCGATTTTGGGCAACACTAACCGTAGTATAGCCGCTCAAAGTCCCCTTTTAATAGTTCTGACAAAGACAAACTCTGGTATTTGCAGGAAATTTGGTCTACTGTATAGCAATTTTTAATTATCTGAATTCAATACTTGTGTTATCGCTTCCTATGAAAAAAAAAAAAAACCTGACCACTTTAAGAAAAGACAAAATAGGACTTCATTTGCCGGATATAAACGTAAAAAATTAAAAAATATATACGTAATAAGATTAGGAAAATCCATGAGATCGGTTAGAGGAAAATTTCTCAACTGCAGAGAAATAAGAAAAGCGAATTGGGTCAGAACAAATATTGCACGGGCTTAGAGCAGTGCCGTGGAGGAAGCACAACTGTAAATTGAACAGGATAAGAGAGAACGTAAATAGCAGCGGTACCTACAATGTCGCCGCTTCTCTTCTACACTTTCTGTAATATCCTGTCGTAATAGTTATACTGCAACCATCTCGATGCTATCATTTATTACATAATAAAATTAAAGCAATAAGGAATAACTTTTGGAACATTAGACCTCTGTAAAACAAGTTACAAGGTCCATTAAATAAGAAGTTTTTTTTTTATTGGAAGAATAATATTACAATCGGCCACAATTAAAGGTATTGGGTACTAAGGCTGGGTATTAAGAAATAAGAAGAAAACATGTAAGTAAAAAGTATATACAGTAAAAGAATTAAAAAAAATACCTGTATAAAAAGGGAAAAAGTTAAGAGGCTAATAGAAAGAAAAAAAAATACTTGTCACACAATCATTCCTATATACAATATTTCCATTCAACCTGGAAACCCTGAACCAAGCCGCTCTCATATCAAAGGCAAAACAGGGCTCAAGGAGATTCCAGTGCTTCTCTCCCAGTCGTATCACTGTTACATAAGATAGTAATGTAAATAAAATAACAATATTAAAATAAAAATGTGGCGCTTTTTCGGTGATGTTCTTCTAGTTGATTGAACAACAGATTAAAAAAAAAAAAAAGAATTTTGACTAAAAATGTCTAAATAGAGATATAACATAAAACATTATTGTTATTTGGTTTTTGTTTTTGGCTTAACTTTGAACCAATATGCATTATGGTAATAAGAAAGTTTCATGTT